CTGGCATCAAGTTCCCCGCGGTAAGTTTCCTTGTACAAGAGTCTGAGGGGAGAGGTAAGGAGTGGGAGGCCGGGAGTCCAGTTCAGGATCGGGGATTCCAGGACGACAAGTGAAGGAGAAGGGGCTGGGCGCAGGTTGAGGGTCTCTCCCTGGTTCCCCAGGCAGATCCTTGACCAAGACTCAGGCAGACAGTGTGACAAAGAAGCTTCGTGTAGGAGAAGAGGGATCAGGACAAAGTCTCAGGTCCCGGGAGTGGCTCTCAGGGTCTCAGGCTCCTAGGGCAGTGTCTGTATTGGGAACGCACAGCGTTGGGGATTCCCCACTCACCTCAGTTTCACTTCTCCCACCCTGTGTCGGGAACTTCTTGTTGGATAGTCAAGATGCGTCCCCAGTTCCCACTCCCATTGGGTGCCGGTTTCTAGAGAAGCCACTTAGAGTCATTGCGGTCCCGGTTCCAAAGTCCCCAGTCACCCACCAGGACTCAGATTCTCCCCAGATGCCGAAGATGGTGGTCATGGCGCCCGGAACCCTCCTGCTGCTGCTCTCGGGGGCCTTGGCTCTGACCCAGACCCTGGAGGGTGATTGCGGCATGGGAAGGGAAACTGCCTCTTCGGGGAGGAGGGAAGAGTCCGCCCTCCAGGGCTCAGGACCCGGGGAGCAGCGCCGGGATGAGGGTCCAGCGAGTCTCAGCCCCTCCTCGCCCCCAGGCTCCCACTCCCTGAGATATTTCACTACCACCGTGTCCAGGCCTGGCGGCGGTAAGCCGAGCTTCATCGCCGTGGGCTATGTGGACGACACGGAGTTCGAGAGGTTCCGCAGTGACAAGAGTCCGAGGATGGATCCGCGGGCGCCTTGGATGGAGCAGGAGGAGCCGGAGTATTGGGACCGGGAGACAAGGAGACTCAAGGTGGACGCACAGATTAGTGAAATGTGCCTGCGGAACCTGCGCAGCTACCACAACGAGAGCGAGGCCAGTGAGTGACTCTCGCCCGGGGCGCAGTTCACGACCCCTCCCTGTCGCCCACGGACAGCCTGGGTCTCCCCGAGTCTCCGGGTCCAAGGTCCACCCAGAGGCTGAGGGACGTACCCAGACCCTCGACTAGGAGAGCCCCAGCATTTTCAGTTTAGCTCAAAATCCCCGCGGGTTGGTGGAGGTAGGGTGGGGGTGGGGTGGGGGGGCAGGGCTGACCTCAGGGGAGGGCCAGGTTCTCACACTTTCCAGAGGATGTACGGCTGCGAAGTGGGGCCAGATGGGCGCTTCCTCCGCGGGTATGACAAGAGAGCCTACGACGGCAAGGATCACATCGCCCTGAACGAGGACCTGCGCTCCTGGACTGCTGCAGCCATGGAGGCTCAGATCAGCCAGCGCTGGTTGGAGGCGAACAATGCGGCTGAGAGGATGAGAGCCTACCTGGAGGGCGAGTGCGTGGAGTTGCTCCACAGACACCTCCAGAATGGGAAGGAGATGCTGCAGCGCGCGGGTACCAGGGGCAGTAGGAAGCCGTCCCCATCTCCTATAGATCTCCTGGTCTGACCTGCCAAGAGGACGGGAGGAAAATGAGATCAGCGCTAGAATATCGCCCTCCCTTGAATGCAGAATGACATGAGTTTTCCTGAGTTTCCTCTGAGGGCCCCCTCTGCTCTCGAAGACAATTAAGGGATGACCTTTGAGGAAACGGAGGGAAAGACAGTCCCTGGAATACTGATCAGGGGTCCTCTTTGACCTCTGCAGCAGCCTTGGGTACCGTGAGTTTTTCTCTCAGGCCTTGTTCTCTGTCTCACACTCAGTGTCTTTGAAGGTCTGATTCCAGCTTTTCTGAGTCTCCCGGCCTCCATTCAGGTCAGGACCAGAAGTCGCTGTTCCTCCCTCAGAGACTAGAACTTTCCAAGGAATAGGAGATTATCCCAGGTGCCTGTGTCCAGGCTGGTGTCTGGGTTCTGTGCTCCCTTCCCCACCCCAGGTGTCCTGTCCAATCTCAGAATGGTCACATGGGAGCTGCTGGGGTGTCCCATGAGAGATACAAAGTGCCTGAATCTTCTGACTCTTCCCATCAGACCCCCCAAAGGCACACGTGACCCACCACCCCATCTCTGACCATGAGGCCACCCTGAGGTGCTGGGCCCTGGGCTTCTACCCTGCGGAGATCACACTGACCTGGCAGCGGGATGGGGAGGACCAAACTCAGGACACCGAGCTTGTGGAGACCAGGCCAGCAGGGGACAGAAACTTCCAGAAGTGGGTAGCTGTGGTGGTGCCTTCTGGAGAAGAGCAGAGATACACGTGCCATGTGCAGCACGAGGGGCTGCCGGAGCCCCTCACCCTGAGATGGGGTAAGGAGGGAGATGGACAAGGAGGGGAAGGGCAGTCACATCTCTTCTCAGGGAAAGCAGAAGCCCTTCTGGAGTCTTCAGCAAGGTCAGGGCTGAGGCCTTTGGTCAGGGCCCCTCAACTTCCCCTTTTTCCCAGAGCTGCCTTCCCAGCCCACCATCCACATCATGGGCATCGTTGCTGGCCTCATTCTCCTTGGAGCTGTGGTCACTGGAGCTGTGGTCGCTGCTGTGATGTGGAGGAGGAAGAGTTCAGGTAGGGAAGGGGTGAGGAGTGGGGTCTGAATTTTCTTGTCGAACTGGGGGTTTCAAGCCCCAGGAAGAAGTGTATCCTGCCTCCTTACTGGGAAGCACCATCCACACATGGACCAACCCAGCCTGGGGCCCTGTGTGCCAGCACTTACTCTTTTGTGAAGCACATGTGACAATCAAGGGACAGATGTATCACCTTGATGATTGTGGTGATGGGGACCTGATTCCAGTATTCACAAGTCAGGGGAAGGTCCCTGCTAAGGACAGACCTTACGAGGGTGGTTGGTCCAGGACTCACACCTGCTTTGCTCATGTTTCCTGATCCTGCCCTGTGTCTGTAGTCATAGTTCTGGAAACTTCTCTTGGGTCCAAGACTAGGAGGTTCCTCTAAAGTCACATGGCCCTGCCTCCTCCCTGTCCCCTCACAGAAAGTTTTCTTCTCACAGATGGAGAAAGAGGGAGCTACTATCAGGATTCGTGGAAGTGGTGGGGGCGGGAGTGTGGAGGAGTCACCCACCCCATAATTCCTCCTGGCCCACATCTCCTGCGGGCTCTGACCAGGTCCTGTTTTTGTTCTATCCCAGGCAGCGACAGTGCCCACGGCTCTGATGTGTCTCTCACAGCTTGTAAAGGTGAGACTCTGGGAGACCTAAAGTAGGCAGGGGATGGGGCAGAAGGGAAAGGACTGGGTAATGTGAATTCTTTCATTGGGACGTTTCAAGTGTGTGGTGGGCTGTTCAGAGTGTCATCACTTACCATGACTGACCTGAATTTGTTCATTACTATTGTTTTCTGTAGCCTGAGACAGCTGCCTTGTGTGGGACTGAGATGCAGGATTTTTTCACGCCTCCCCTTTGTGACTTCAAGAGCCTCTGGCATCTCTTTCTGCAAAGGCATCTGAATGTGTCTGTGTCCCTGTTAGCATAATGGGCTGTCCCCATGCTGACCTGTGTTCCCTCCCCAGTCATCTTTCCTGTTCCAGAGAGGTGGGGCTGAGTATCTTCATATCAGTCTCAACTTCATGGTGCCCTGCACTGCAACCTCTTACTTCCCTACTGAAAATAATAATCTGAATGTAAATGTGTTTCCTCAAATATTTTCCATGAGAGGTTGATGAGTTAATTAAATAAGTCAATTCCTAAAATTTGAGATAGGAAATAAAGACCTGAGAACCTTCCAGAATCCACATTTGCTGTGCTGTCTGTTGCAGGTGGGGATGGAAAAGGCTGTGAGGAGTCGAGTGTGGATGGGGCCTGTGCCCAGTTGCTACTGAGTCCATCATGGTCTTTCTGTGGTCAGTCCTCAGCTGGGTCAGCTTCACTGCTCCACTGTCCTTGTCCCTTCAGTGGAAACTTGTCCAGCAAGAGCTGTGACCACAGAGAGTTATACATCTCCCAGGGCGGCCCCTGCCCATGTGAGTCTCTGTGCTTCTGAGACAAATTTTCGAACCCATTCAGCTCCTGGGCTCCTTCTAGGGCTCCTCTTCTGCTCTGCTCTCCTGCCCTCTCTCCCTGCCCTGGTTCCAGTGATCTTGGTGCTGGCTCCAATACCAACTCATGAATCTAAAGCAGAGTGTAATTTAGATTCATATTTGATTGTAAAATTGAGTTTATAGTCTAGAATTGTTCTTTCATGAAGAGAGAAACCTGGTTGTGTGCTCCAGTGTGCGTGGGGGTTGGTGTGGGAGGAGGGTGGGGGAAGGAGGCCACAAGCAGCCCTGCTGAGAAAAGCATAGGCGGCCTGGATGTCAGCGTGAGGGGACCTTGTGCTGTAGCTGCCACAAAACAGCACTTGGCCTGAGGCTGTTAATAAGAATCCTGTCTAGAATAGGAGGTGCTCTACAGTGATCATTCATTCCACTGACATTTGAATCGTTCTGCATCTGGGGAACATCACTGAAGTAAGATCAGAAAAATCTCAGGCCTTTTGGAGCACATGTTCAGTGGGAAGAGGCAGATGATAGATACACTAAAATCAGAGTAAGGAAGGAAAGTGCTAGAAGGTGGTAAGTGCAGGGAGGCAGGTGATCCAGGGTGTGAAGAGTGGGGACAGGGAAGGTGACTGTTGTGCTGGGTGGTCAATGTGCACCACATTGCAAAGGTGACCTTTGAGAAAAGAGTTGAGGGACATGTGAGTATCCACGAAGATGTCTAAGAAGTTCTTTCCAGACAGGAGAAGCTCCAAGACAAATGCACTAGGGCAGAAAGGTGTCTATTCCCAGAAGAGCAAGAAGGCCAGGAGGGCTGGACAGAGAGAAACTAGATGTGGTCAGAAGTGTGGCCACAGCTGGTGGGCTTGAGGGCAGTGGGATTGGATCTGACCTTTGCTCTGAGCGGGATCGGGTGTTAGAGGACAGCTTTAAGAGGGCCATGATATGATTTCTCTTTTAAAAATATATCTCTGACTGCTATGCTGAGCATGGATTGAGAGGTGAAGGATGAGACAAGCAGGAGTGAAAACAGTGGGCAGTGAGTTCAGTATTCCAGGCTGGAGATGTCATTACCTTGACTGGGGTGTGAGCAAGGGAAATAGTGGGATGTGAGGGAATTCTGGATGCATTTGAAGATGTACTCACAGCATTTGCCAATGGATTGTATCTGTGGTGTAAGAAAGAAGAATCAAGGACACGCATAGTTGTAAAATGAGTGAGTAGAAGGAAGGATGGAGCTGCTGTCAGTGGAGATGGGGGGACTCTGGCAGGAGCATACTGAGGAGGGGGCATCCCAGACACTCAGTGGAGAAGATGTCTACCAGGAATGCAGGTGAGGGAGCTGCAGTTGGACTGAACTCCAGAGTTTAGGGGAAAGGACTGGGCTGGAGAAATGGACTTAGGAGGTCACACCATATAAATGATACTAAAAACCTCAAGCATGGATGAAGGCACCAAGGGGGTGATTGACTATGGAAAAGAATGAGCTAAAGGACTGAACCCTGAACCTCAAGTTCTAAGGGGTCTAATCAGACCATACCCAGAGCAGACTGCACAGGTCTGACCCCACGCCTAGAGGACACTTAAACAAGGACCTTCCATGTGCACAGGAATCACCTGGATGTGATGCTGAGATCCAGGAAGTCTGGAGTTGAGCAAGAGATCCTGGATTTATGACAAGACTGGAGCTCCTGCTGCTGGTCTCCAGATCACACTTGGAGTAGCAAGAACACCGGGATCCCACATGTCTGTGCATCAGCCTCGCCTGTCGGGTTGTTATAAAAATGATTCCTTAGTCTTGTGCATAACCCTGTCAGACAGGGGCTCTGGGGAGTGGTGTGAGTATTTTCTAATCCTCCACCAGCAATCCTGTTGCTCAGCCAGATTGGGAACCACTGACATCAGTAGTTAGAGAGTACCCAGGGTGGGTGGGTTGGGTAGGTTTTCAAATCTTAGTTAAAAGTGGTTTTTTTTCTCCCTCAGAAAGAAAAGGGAGGATGTATATCATCAATTATGAGATGTGATATTCCCTGTTGATCTCTCCACCATGGGGTAGAGGCCAAGTAGACAATTCAGGATGTGGCTCTCACACAAAGAACACCTCTGAATGCTGCTCTCTGACACTGCTCCACAGACTGATTTCTCACTCACTTCATGAAGTAAACTATGGAAAACAAATTTCTGTAATTTACACATAAAGTTGTATATCTGGTAATGGGGGTAAATTTTATTGTGGTAAAGGCTGCAGAACAAGGCTGAAAACTACACATCCAGGAACAGAATCCACAGCCCACCCTGGATCAGGTCCCTCCTAGGAACAACTGCCCCTGCTGCTGAGCACAGACGCCACTGCTCACACCTCTGACACCTGGTGCTGGACAGTGGACCCTGAGGCTAGGACAGATGTCACTACTGCACCTGGAAACTGGACATCACCACTGCTACTCAGCCACCTTTACTAAAATGCGTACTTCACAGTCCCAGCCTCTCTGTGTCACCTCATTCCGGCTCAGATTCTGGCAGTAATACAGGACTTAAGAAATTATTTAGGCAGAGAGTGAGGGTACAGAAGCCCTCAGTAAGATTTTTCTTTTAATCAAAAGTGGCTCCCAAGTCATTTTGTTTTCTAACAAAGAGCAGCCTGTAAAATCAAGCTTCAGACATAGACAAGCAAACTGGGAGCTCTCACAGGTGATTGCGGCAGCTGTGACAATAGGAAAAGGACACCTTGGACTTGGCATGGTCACCATGGTGGCTCCATTTCCCCTTCTCTTTATCAGCCACATGTACAGTAAAGAGCAGACAATATGGGACCAGCCAAGTGGAAAGCCCATTTGCATAAGAGGATTAGGGTGGGATGAACAGCCTTCTCCACAAACTGTGTAAATGTCACACTTGTTCCAACCAACCTGTGGGCCCTGCATAAATCAGACACCATCTCCTCAAGCCCGCCTATACAATCAGATGCACTCCCATTCCAGGCCAGAATTCCCTTTCAGGTGCCCCTCTGTCTTGCAAGAGAGAGAGCTGTTTCACTTTGTCTCTCTTTTGCCTATTAAACCTCTGTTCCTAAACTCACTTCTCGTGTGTCAGTGTCCTTAATCTTCTTGGTACAAGACAATGAACCCTGAGCATTTACTGGAGAGAAAGATGCTGCTTCAGGAGGTGCTCATCTGACTGGTGCAGCCTGACTCATGTCCATGATCAACTGCAGGAGTGACTGGAGTGTTGTGCTCTTCCAGGGAGGGAGGTGGCTTCTGTCTCCTCTCAAAACTTTGCATGTTGTAAGCCAGGCATTGTGGCTCATGCCCATAGTCCCAGTACTTTGGGAGGCTGAGGTGGGTGGATCACCTGAGGTCAGGAGTCTGAGACCAGTCTAGCCAACATAGTGAAACCCTGTCACTACTAATAATACAAAATTAGCCAGGCGTAGTAGTGCATACCTGTAATCCCAGCTACTCGGGAGGGTGAGGCAGGAGAATCACTTCAACCTGGAAGGTGGAGATTGCAGTGAGCTGAGATTGCACCATTGCACTCCAGCCTAGGCAATAAGAGCGAAAGTCCACCACACACACACACACACACACACACACACACACACACATACATACACAACCAATCACATACACACACACACACATAACCACACACACACACACTCACAAATGACATCAAAATTCCACATGTGGTAAACCCAAATAAACTTCACATGTGGTAAACCCAAAATAAACTTCAAAGCCACCCCTCCCAACCATCTTAATGGACACCCTCCTCAGCCAGGGCACTCAAAAGTTAACCTGAAAGGCTGGCTCAGGCCATCATGGGAAGCAGATGTTGAACATGTCTCATTACACCCTCTACCTTTTTAGAATTTAGGAAAAGCTGACCAGCATTTACCATCAACACAGACCTTAAACCTGATCAGAAACATTTCCAATCTATTCTCTCCAAAGCCTGCCACATGGAGGCTTCATCTGCATGATAAAATTTTGGTCTCCACAACCTCTTATCATAACCCAGCCATTCCTTTGTCTTGACAATAACTCAACCAATTACCAATCAGAACGTTTTTAAATCTACCTATAAGCCAGAAGCAGTACCCCTAGTCCCACTTGCTTCAAATTATTCTGCCTTCCTGAATTGAATCAATGTATATCTTAAATGTATTTGATTGATGTATCATATCTTCTCAAAATGTATAAAACCTGCCTGCACCCCCAACGACCTTGAACACATGTGCCCAGGGTCTCCTAAGGGCTGTGCCATGGGCTGTGGTCACTCATATATGTCTCAGAATAAACCTCTTCAAATATGTTACATAGTTTGACTCCTTTTATGGACAGTGTGGAATTCTGATGTGGGAAGAGGGTTCAAGTGCTGGGTGTGAGGGGTGGGAAAAGAATGACAAATTTTAATTCTCAGAGCAGTGATTCAAGATGAGAATTTTATCTGGATCCTGGTAGGCATTCAAAGTGTCTGAATGAATCA